AAGCTTAAGTAGTACTAGCTAGTAGCTATATTATATCTTATAAGGGAACATCCCTGATAATATATTTTTTGTATTATTATATGTAAATTTTACTATATCTAGCTAGTTTGCCTAATTAGTTTATTAGTAACTAATATAGATCCTTAGATAGGTCTCTAATATCTAGTTCTAATATTCTATTTAGCTATCTATTTATAGGTAAAATATAGTACTTAATTATTCTTTAACTTAAAGCTCTTAGCATAGCTAGATTTAATATTTACTAGTAAAGAACAAGCTATAGTTACTTACTAGGCTCCTTAATACTCTTATTTTAAGCATGATCTCTTCTATAAATATATTAGCTAGCTCCTTAATATTAATATTCCCTATTATTAGGAGGTATTTAGCTCCCTTAGTATATTAGTCTATAATTACTAAGATAGTATTATACACGTGCCCCTTTTATATTAATAGTAGTAAGCCTATAATAAAGTCTAGAGTTAGGTCCTACCAAGGGTGTTCTAGCACCAGGAGCTTTGTGAGCTGGCCTGGTAGAAGCTATCTAGGTATCTTTATCTTCTAGTAAATTAGATAACTTTTTATATACTCCTTAATATTATATTATAGGGTATTCTAGTAGAACTTTTATTTAATAAGGTCTAATATCTTCTCTTAACTAAAGTAGCCTGTATATAGGTTATTATAGTATACTCTTAGTAATTCTTAGTATATTACTTAATTAGAAGGAATATAAATAGCCTTACTATATTATACTAGCCTATTACTATTAATATACTATCTATTCTTATAAGTTTACCTTTATTTAATATTATTCCTGAACTGCTTTATTATTTCTTATTTAGGTAGTTTCCCTACTATTTAAGTATGCCTCTAGTATGCTAGGTATTCCTTACTAGTATTGCTCTAAATTTAACTTACATGGGTATTCTTATATTATATTTTCTAAAGTAAGTCTTATAGAGTGATTAATAGTATCCTGCAGGCTTGCTTGTTACTAGCTACCTTTCATACTAGTATTCTTTAGGTTAAAAGTTCTAGATTTTTTAACCATATAATTAGGGTCTCTCAGGGAGTTATTATCTTACTCCTATCTTGATTATTTTATAAACCTCCTAGCTTTACCTAAAGTATAGGCAAGAGTTCCTTAGCTATATCTTATTAGACAGGTTTATAATCCTTTTACCTTAAAAGTATATTAGCTAGGTTAAAGCTACCAAGCCAATATTTAATCTAGAAATTATATATTACTAGAAGCTTAGCCTATCTAGCCTAGTATTAATTTAAAGTCTTAATAATATAAAAATATTTTAAATTTATATAATTTATCTGCACGTGTATTATATATAAGTTACCTTTAAGGTAGTAGTATCATACCTTAAAGTATTTTACTATAGCTAGTAATTCTTAATTATAAGTTTTATACCTCCTCTCTACTTTAATTAACTTCTTTAAGTAGAAGGCCACAGGTTACTAAGTAGCATGCCATATCTTCGCGGACTAGACACTATTATATTATATTAGGATTCCTATAATTATAAAATCTAATATATTAATTACTAGGAATATCTCTTATTCCAGGTTAAAATACTACAGTACTAAGAGTCTAGAGAATGCCTGCTTTAGTACCTTAAAGGTACTTTAACTATTCTTTATTATCTTAAAGGGGCCACTCTTTCTCCCCTTTACTATCCTTTTTAGTATATTACTTAGTAAGGCAGTAATCTTAAAGTACTAGTAAATAAATCTTTGAAAATATCCTATAAATCCCAGGAATACTTGAATATTATAGAATAAATATAGTTCTAGCTAGTTATCTATAGTATATACCTATTTAAAATCTATTTAGATTCTTTTAATTCCTATAATAAAGTTAAGGAAATATACTTCCTCCTAGTAAAAGCTATACTTTAAAAGTTTTATATAAAGGTTATGCTTCTAGAGGTATAATAGTACTTTATTAATATAGTACTCATGCTTTTCCTCTATTTATAAGTAAATTAGGATATTATCTAGATATATTATATAAAATTTATTCAGGATCCCCTTTATTACTTTATTAATATATACTTAAAAGGTAGCTAGGGTATTATATAATTTAAAAGGTATAACTAAATATTTATAATATCTATACCTTATATAAAATACTATCTTCTACTTGTTACCCTAATAGATATAAATCTAGTAATAAGTATCTTATAGATCTAGTTTAATAAATTATTTAGTACTAACTAATTAGTCTATTAATTTATTAATTTATAGGAGGGGATATTAGTTCTTAATAGTAATTATATTCAGGCCCCTATAATCTATATAGAGCTATAGTAACTTATTAGCCTTTTATATGAAAAGCACCAGCGTGCCTGCTATACTTATTAAGGGCTGGATCTATCCTTTTTCTAATATTTAATTAATATACTCCCTTAAGATTACTAACTCTATCCTTAATATACTATATAGCTAGCTTATTAATAGTACTATACTAGTAACTAATAATATATTATAACTAGCTTTTTTAGAGAGAAGTACCTCTACCTCTTTTTCTAAGAATATTAATTTCTATTCTTTATAATATTTAGGGAGAGCCCTTATTATACTATTATTATTATATAGTTAGCTTAAGACTAGTATAGTAAGTTCTTGCCTTATTATACTCTTAAATTACTTGAGTAATTTAATTTTAATCTTTAACTTTTTCTCTTAGTAATACTAGGTATTTATTACTAAGAAGATATTAGGATTAACTAGGCTTAACTAGCTATACTCTAGAATTAGTTAATATTCTTTTTCTTCTAAATTTATTATATAATATTTTATATTAAATTCTCTAGTTTTATTAAGGCTATCTATAATTTAGCTCTTTACCTAGAATCTCGTGTAATATAATACTATTAAGCTATTAGTAAAATACATAGGTTACTCTATCTTTATTTTATTAAGGTTTATTCCTTCTTTAACTAAGAAATAATAGGAAATAAAGTTCTTATTTACTCTAGTATCTATAAGTGCCCTTATCATAATCTATTTTTTGCCTACTAGAATAGCTATAGTAGCTAGAAGGGGTTCTACTAGTACCTCTTTATTCTATTAGAGTACTAGAAATTCTAGAATATTTAATTATTATTAGTCCTAGTCCTCTAATTTTCCTGCCCCCTTAATACCTTCTTTATGCTGGGGGTATTTTCTTATAATATAACTAATTTAATTATACTAGTAGTATTAGCCTTCCTTTTATTAGTTCTAGTAATTTTGCTACTCTTCCTTTAATTTTTTCTACTAGAATTTATTTAGTTAGGGATTTATTACTTTATTATTATCTTTCTTTCTCTTTCTTAAGTTATCCTTTAATATACAAGACCCCAGGAATTAGTTTAGTTATATCCTATTTAGCTTTTCCTACTTTTCTTATTTCTGAAGTTTCTTGTACCTTGCCCCTAGTTTAGTAACTTTAGCTAGACTTTATAGTATTATTACATCCTACTAGATTTCCTTGTGTAATTTAGGCTAGACTATTTAGATAGCTAGCTAGTAGAGGAATCCTTTAAGATTAGCTTTAATTATTAGGATAAATTCTTCTATCTAGGTTATTAGGATTTATATACTCTATTATAGTTCTTATCTCATGTATAGGAGCTAGTAAGCTATTATCTACCTGTAATCTCTCTCTAGTTCTAGAAAATTCTATAGGAACTTAGTAAACTCTATATAAGTAAGTTCTTTAAGATTTACTTTATATTTAGAATACTATACCTGCTTTATATTATTTTTTAGGCAACCTATAATATAGTAGACCTTAGCTATATTATTTTTATAGAGTTTCTCTTATAACCTAAAGTAGTCTTAGAGATCTTCTAGGAAGATATTAAGTTTTTTTAGGTTTTATATCTTAAAAAACTTAGGTTTAGGTACTTTCTCCCTACCTATCTATATAACTTGTGCTATATATTAGGCCATGTACTATAGCTTATCATCTTCTATTAACTTGATAGGTTGGCGCTAGAGAGTTGCTGGTGCTATTAAACCTTTCTTAATAATAGTTTCTAGAACTATAGTTATAGATTCTATAGAGTTTAAATCTACTACTCCTTAGAAGAAGGAGTAAATAATCCTTCTTATACTTACTATATTACTTTACTTAGTTAAGAAAGTACTTTAAATTATAAGTATCTTACTAGTAAGGTGCTTGGGTATAAGTAATATTAGTAAAGGAAGCAAAGCTATATAGAGTACAAGAATAATAGGAAGGTATTAGAAGTAATAAAATAAAGTACTTATTTCTCAGCACTTCAGGGGTTATTATATTACTATTTATATTATCTAGTTAAGTTGCTGGTGCAGCGCAGGCAACTTGAATGTTGCTGTTCTCCTGATTACCCTCGGTTACTAGGTATGTGGTTCGGCATGTGGTTCGGCATGTGGTTGCATGTCACGTGGTCGCCGTGACAGTAATAGCTTCAAGTAAGCAAGATTTATTGAAATCTAGAGATTTAGGCATGTTATATTATAATAATAATAAAAATAAGTTGAAATATTAAAAATCACGAAGAATGTGTGATCGCGAAGAATGTGTGGCGCACCTAAAGCAGGTAGCGGTTTGGGTGGGCAGAAAGGCATGGATATGGCGCCACCCTTTCCCCCGATCCCCAGCCGGTCCTTCATGGCATGACAGAGCAGTAAGGCAACTTTTAATAATTACAATCCCAATTACCATTGTGGATGACTGCCAGCGGGAGTATATGAATTTTCGAGCTGTAAATTGTGCAAAGAACACTCCATGTATATTTATATCGGTTTGATTGAGGGTTGATAACAGGGTTCAAAAAGGATGTAGCGTACAAAGGAAACTCAAAGAAGCATAGTAGGGAGCTATCCGCTTTCGACAACCGATATTTCAACAACCTGTGACTTTCCATCTGCCGGGGTTTCCCCTTATTTTCGGGTTAAATGTACATGTCCCTTGACTCTCGGAAAACGCTGGGTGCCAATTCACAAAAGACCATTTAGGTAGCCTTGTCCTTGTTGTGGTAGTTGACGCTCGAGTTCCAGCTGTGACATGATTAGTATTTAATCTCGGAAGAAATTCGAGGTTTTAGGGAGAGATTCAGGAGGGGTTAAGGTCGTATCCGGAGGACTGAGAGGGGAAATTGGAACTCACAAGATGGTCTAAGAAAACAAGTTAAGTTAGCAAATTTTCCGTTAGATTCTCTAATATCGACCAAAAACTGACCTTGTCACCATCGCCCCAAGGGAAGTTCTTGGAGCGGATGTTCTGGTAGGGATACTCGACACGCTCCTCAAGAGGAGCCATGTGCTCCCAGTGCTCCCAATGCTCCTCCCAGAGGTTGTAGGCGTTCAGACCGGCGAGGATCAGGCAAGGAGCGACGGCACTAGAGGTTATAAGCATGGCTGCGTTCATAACCGAGGGCAGAGAGGTATTCAATGGCTCAACATACTAGACGGAGAGCTTGCGCCAGAGATCTGCACAGCCAATTGGTTAGTGTCGCCATATTCATCATTCTCAAGCAGCTCATAGGCCCCAAGAGATCAATCGAGGGTATACACACCACTGGTGGAAGCAGCGTGATGCTTGACAGCAGCCCGCTCGCGGTTGAATGCGTTGTCGACAATCCAAGGAAGCTTGGGCTCGGTGCTGTTGAAACGGCGCTGAACGGCAGAGCGAACCGGAGCGGAACGCACCTGCTGGGAAAGACGAAGGATGCTGCGTTGAGAGAACATATTGTGCAGAGGGACAACCGAGTGGCTCACAGCTGCGATCTTGATCTTTAGACGGTGGGATTATCACCAGACGTCGGGCCTTCCGGGTTAACGAGGCAAAAGCCGTTTAGCGTCTCCCGTGATTCGTTCCGGCGCTGGATTATGTCAGCAGCTTTTTCCCGTGATGTCACGCCCGATGGTCACGTGTCAGGATGCGACAGACTCAACGCTTTTGGAAACGAGATCATAATAACTAGTGCATGCTCGTTGATATCACCCGCGATTGGCGGTGATTTGCGTCTTCTAGCTTCTTTATGTGTTGACCCAGATTATTCGGACTGGTATCTCTAGGTAGTTATAGAGATTGGTATCCCTGCCAGGCAGAATATGGACAATCTACGTCCATAGTCGCCGGCATGGGGTTTCGCATCACAACATGGAATGGTGAGCCTATTCTATAAATTTCGTCTGTCAAAGAGAGGTATTGTACAATCCTGCTAATCTTATATAGTCAACGGAATTAGGTGCGCGGGCTCGTTTATTATTTCCACGACCAGTCGCTCATTATAAGTAGAAATCCATTTTCATATGAACCATGGAGAAGCACGCGGACTTTCGAGGTAAGCTTCTACTCTCTCTTCAAGATCTGTAACTGACGAATTAGTCCATGTTTGACATACTGGAAGCCGATATTGTTGTGTTTCAGGAGACCAAAATCCAGCGGAAAGACCTCAGAGATGACATGGTTATGGTACCAGGGTGGGATTGCTATTTTAGTCTGCCTAGAGTAAAAAAAGGTCAGGATAGTAAACTCGATGAAAATTTCCTCGCTAACTTTGTCAGGTTATTCTGGGGTTGTTATATACACTCGTAACGCGACGTGTGCCCCGATCCGTGCTGAGGAAGGGCTTACCGGGACGCTTTGCCCACCAAATTCTTCAGTCTCGTTTCGAGATCTTCCTGGGGATCAGCAAATTGGGGGCTATCCGACCCTGGAGCAGCTATCGTTGCTTGAAGTGGATGCAGCGGTTCTTGACTCTGAAGGACGCTGTGTCATCCTTGAATTCCCGGCTTTCGTTCTCTTAGGGGTTTATTGTCCGGCTAACCGAGATGAAACCCGGGATAATTTTCGACATAGTTTCCTCGACCTCTTAGATGCTCGCGTCCGGAATTTAGTCGCCATGGGTAAAAGAGTTTTCGTAACAGGGGATCTGAACATTTCAACCGGCATGATCGATTCAGCTCATGCGTCCGAAAATATCCGCAAAGGTAGCTTAACAGAGGACGAATACATCTCCGCACCAGCACGCCGATTTTTCAACCATCTTTTATCCGGGGGAAAGGTCGTCGGTGAGCGTGATGAGGGGAGAGAACAGCCAGTTCTCCACGATATTTGTAGGTCCTTTCACCCTGACCGTCGAGCGATGTATACCTGCTGGGAACAAAGAATCAATGCTCGACCCGGAAACTACGGCGCACGGATAGACTATGTTCTTAGTAGCTTGGATATGCAGAATTGGTTCTCTGATTCTAATATCCAAGAAGGCCTGATGGTATGCTTCCAACCTACTGCAACTAAAATCAGGCTAACTGAAGATGTGTAGGGATCGGACCATTGCCCGGTATTCGCCGTCTTTAAGGATATCGTCCCTTTGGATGGAGACCAGGTCAGTATCCACGATCTGATGAACCCCTCTGGGGTGTTTGAAAACGGGAAGCGCCTGGAAGAATATAGCCCCAAGCTCCTGCTTCCACTTTCGGGGCGGCTGATCCCAGAGTTCGACAAGCGGAGAAGCATCAAAGACATGTTTATGCGTAAACCGAGTAGCGTCACTCCGAAATCGTCGTCTACAACATCACACCCTCCTTCGACCAAGGAGAAAGCGCCGAGTGTGAAAAACATGGAGAGTCCCCCGACAAAGTCGCCTTGCAGCGTTTCTGCTCCGCTTTCCGAAACTGCCCAAAGCAAAGGCACAGTTCGCAAGCGGTCGGACAAAACTGAACTCCCATCCGTTAAGCGTTCAAAACCCATGATTACTCAATCAACGTCGGGGCAGAGTTCTCTCAAGGGATTTTTCAAGCCCAAGTCTACGCCGGTCAGTGAAACTCAAACTTCCAGTCGAAGTGAGAACGGATCTGCATCTGGGGAAGCTATCGAGCCGTTATCTGCGGACAGCACAACATCCACCATCCAACCAGAAGCAGAAGAACAGGCTGTGAACTGGAAGGACGAGATAAATTCGCCAGTGACATCCCAAGAGGAAACGCCCTTTATCGATCCAATCGTCAGCAAGGAGGACTGGTCGAAGCTCTTTACCAGGAAATCTCCTCCCAAGTGCGAAGGCCATGACGAACCCTGTGTCAGCTTGAAAACCAAGAAGCCTGGGATTAACTGCGGGCGATCATTTTGGATTTGCCCCAGGCCTTTAGGGCCCAGCGGGAATAAGGAAAGGGGAACCGGATGGCGATGTTCGACGTTTATCTGGGCCAGCGACTGGGATTCTTCGACTATGTAGACTACACAGGAGTAGTTTTGGCATATTATCTCCCGGGTTTAGAGCAATGACCTTTTATAAATTCATTGCTTTATTCTGAAGTCATGTCGGTTCGTAAAAAACATCAGCACTACGGTCACATCTCTCCCGCAATCTAAAGGGAAAGTAGAAGAAAAGCTATACATCCGAAATCCAAGCTATAAGAAGATGGCCGGGATGACTCCGATATCCAGCCCCCCCCCCCCCCCCCCCGCGACTATACTCGGGACAAGCATCAAGTATGGACCGCTCTACTTTCACTAGCCGTGATTCAGTTGAATACCTGTGGAGGGCGGGTCGTGGGAGGTGAGTGTTGGGTGGGAGGTTGCGCTGAAGCCCTTGGGGTCGGATGAGAAGAGGTGGCTGATAGGATGGTATATTTGTATTTATATTTTAATTTTATATAAATCATGCTACAGTTGGATTCATGGTTGTTGGTGACCAGTACTCCCAGTCCGAGATGTCTACATTTGATATTCCCAACAAGCAGCATCAGGTTACGAAAGGAAATTGATTCATTTACTTCTCTATAAAACTGCATATAACTCCTAGGTAGACCTACGCCCCCCTCCCTGTTTTTGAAGATCCAAGTACTTCGCCGCATAATCATTAGCAAGAACCAAATCCCCCGTCAAATGCATCACAGTAGCCTTCTTCGCCATCATTTCACACTGTCCCCGAATATCCTCAATTTCCTCGTACTGCTCGTAAGCACAATCCAAATACCCCAGCGCGCGATTCATGTACTCCTTTTTCGCGGGGGTGTTCTGGCCCTCCGTCCATAGCTTGCCCGCGAGCCCCATATTCGCATCCACCAGGATGGAGTACGCATACGCGGCGAGATCGCAGTCGTTGGACTCGAGGATCTGAGGCATGATGCTCTCGACCATCTCCGAGACCGCCGGAAACTCTTTCAGGCTGAGAAGCACCCGTGCGAGCACGCAGATCGCTTCCCATAAGCCCGGGAGTAATCGAGACCGGTGGGCGATGCTTGCAGCCCGCATGGCCAAGGAGAAGCCGCGTTGCGGATGGTCTGTCTTGTCGAAGATGCGGGCCTTCAGGCACAGGAGCTTGACTTGGGATTGTATGTCGAAGTTCTCTTGGTGGATGGATTGTGCGGTATTTTCGATGGCCTCTAGCGCACGCGCGTAGTTGCCTTGGCGGATCATGAATTCGATAGAGAGGAAGGACAGCAGAAGCGATAAATCGTTATCGGGGAGGTCGATTGCTTGGAGTTGGGAGAGCAAGTAACTCGCAGCCACTTTATCATCACTAGAGGCTGTTAGATGTAGTCTCGACTACGTGTGTGCGGGACCTACTTGTAGATTTTCCGGCGCAGTTGCAGGATTCCGGAGAAGAATGCCCAGTACTGGCTTGTTTTTAGAGATCGAAGCTTCTCTGGCGTCATTTGGTTCATGTGGGCCAGGACTTCGCTATAGCAACCCTGCTGCGCGAGCTATAGGGAATCAGTACGGGGATATTGAAGTCATGCAGGGCTTTCCTTACCAGCTCGCAGCTTCGAAATGTGCTTTTTAGATAGTCTTCAAATGGCGCATTGTTTGCGTAGCAATGCCGGAATATCTCGCTGCTAAGCCACGCGAGATGCGTCACGCCTGAAAGAGTCAGCTAGGGATAGGTCCCAAGATAAGACAACAGACCTATTCTTGAGTACAGCGCAGTCTGGAGTAACAGCTGTGGGCCCATGGAGTTTAAGAGATGCTTCGTGACATTGAGATGGGATGCACGGACGATATTTTCGATAGAAGACGCGAGGCTCTCGCCCTTGCAAGGGTCAGAAATAGACTGTTGGCTGTAGAAAAGAGACTTACGTTCTGTAGCTCGAGCTTAGCTTCACTAAGAAGGGTTGTACTGAGTAGACTCCACATCTCAGTCTCTTTTGCCTTCGCTTTGAGGAAGGCAAGACCTTCCTTTTCATTGCCCAGCATCCCGGTATTTTGGACGTCTTTCATCTGTTCCGGGAAGGCTTTGCCAAAATGATACAGCCAACTCATACAGAAATTTAGACAGTTCATATCATGAGACTCTCGAGCAATAGAAACGGCTTCCTGCATGGCAGACACAGCCTCCCCATGGCACCCGAAATCCGCCTGAAGTATGGCCAGATTGAGAAGCGCATATTGATAGGAACTTTTATCGCGGTTATGCATCGTGTAATCAAAGTAGCGATGCAGATTGTCGAATGACGACGGGTAGTCGCCTGCCCTCCAAGAATCGAGAAATCTGACAGTGTCAACCCTGCGCCAGGAGATAATGTCAGGCTTCGAGGCTCACCTCAGGTAGTGTATTAAATTAGGTAGAGTTACACCGGATAGAATGATAGTCTCCAGTTGGCTCTTCATGCCTTCTGGAACTCTTCCTCCGAATCCTGTCCGAGTTAGAGAAGAATCCCACAAAGGAAGGCATTCGTACGCTGTAATTCTCCGATTTGGAACTCGAGCAGCCGCTCAACTTCTTTCGTACTGATATATCGGTCGTCTTGAGCATCGTCTTCAATATTCCCGTAGGCTACGTGTGCAAGATGACTCCTCGTGTCCAAGCCGAGTTCGAGCAAATTGATGTCCACCGGGGCCTGCTCCTCGGATGGGTTTTTGCGCGCCCACACGTGGTACGTCGGGAGGCGGTATTGGACGAATCCTTTCCATAGTTTGACAGAATCGTGGAATTGCAGCCTAGTAAATTCCAGCTGGGCTCTTCTGACAAAGGCACCTAAGGGGGAGCACCTCGCCAGACGCATGGGGCCCGATTCGGGAGCCAGACCTGCATCTCGCTCGCGAATCTGCTCCTCGCGGGTTTTCGCCAGAATATCAGATATTTCTGTGAAAAAGACCTCGAGTGCGTCACAGGAATCGATGGACCATATCTTCTTGAGAAAGAGATCCCAGACGGAACGCCCGGGAATGGAGGATTGGTGGCTTAGTAGCGCATCTTCTAGATCGGAGATCGATACGGAATGTTGTTGTTTCCACTCTTCCGATGACGACTGTCGGTTGCCCGGCTCCAAGGGACTTACATGCGATACGAGGAACGAGAGAACATGGATGGCAGAGGAGTTGGGGACAACGCCTTCAGTGTAGATGGAGATCAGAGAGAGCAAAGCTATTTTGGATGGAGTGAGATAACGACTCATGGCGCCTGTGAAGTGTGCATGGCTCTTGGAGCTTGGGTCCGGGTGTTTGGGCTGTCTTCCACCAGGTCCCGTGAAATGAAAGCCGTGTTGAGGGGTTGAAAAGACGCGTATCCAACGCGTTGGCTTGCAGTGATAGGTGAAGGGAAAGAGAATATGTTATTTTCAATAAGGTTGGCAGGTTCAACGACGAGCTTGATTGATGAAAAGTTGGATCAAGAAGGTATTCCTGTTAAGCGAAGCAGAAGCCATGTGGCATGCTTGAGGTTGTACATATAATCCAGTCTTATATTCTATTCAGTACATACGACCATAGGAAGTGGAGAACAGGGCTTCCCGTCCGCTCAGCCGTACTTAAGCCACTTGCCGGTCAGTTAGTAGTATGGTGGGTGACCACATGCGAATCCTGACTGTTGTATGTTTTTCTATCATTTCTTTTTATCTTTTTATCTTTTTTGATTACTTTTATTGTTTTAGTTTGGTTTCGCTATTGCTGGATTCGAGTTATCTTATTGTGGACGAAATCAAATCCATCCTGGTGAGTTACAGCAAAAGGTGGCCTTTCCTAACTGCCTACTCAACCACGAACACAAATTAGAGAAAAGAACAAAATGCCCATCATCACAGATTTCAAACTCCCCAGTTCAGCAGATACCTTGGACATCTCGGTTTTCTTCATCTCTTTCCATGCCTCTCCTGATCCAAATACACGGAAACCATGGTGTCCCGATGTTGCTGCTGCATTGCCGTATCTTCAAGAGGCCTTTTCCGCGCCCAACGCACCGCAGGTGGCTTTTGTTGATGTTGGGCAGCGAGATGAGTATGTATCCCTCTGTCTTCCCCAGCCCATCTCTCTTCTGAGAGGATTGCGCGACGTCATAGAACTAGGATATTCACTGATTGTTTCCAGATGGAGGGAGCCTTTCAACGTTTACCGAACCAAGTGGAACGTGAGCAATCTTCCCACTTTAGTTCGCTATGAGCAGGTGGATGGCAAGACGACGGAGGTAGGCCGGTTGGTGGAAGGTGAAATTCTTGACAAGGTCCGGCTCCAGAAGTTTGTTAGCAGCCGGCCGGCGCAGATATAAGGATCAGTATGACTAGAATCTATTTATTGGAGACTGCCATACCTTACTACTGTATTAATGACTGTTGCTGAATCGCTTGTTATCACTTGAAATTCATATTTGGTTTCTAAATCATGTCTTGAGCAGTTGTGCAACAGAAACGAGGTTCTCTACATCTTGAAGAACCATTGCATGCTTACAAGCACATCTGCAGATTCCAAAGAAACTCGTGGTCTCATGTGCGGGGTCTGCACTGAGCGGAACACCACCAAAGATCCAATTTTACCTTCCAGACAGACGCAACTACCACCTCATGATGGCCAAACCTACGACAGGTATCCGCAGAGGCCAATGGGATATTCGACTTCATCATGGCCTTGTATCGTTGTTGTGATGGTGATTGGGAGCGACTCAGTATGAGCAGAAAGATCCAAACAGAGGACCTTCAGAAGTTTCTCGATTATGCTGCCTTGTTCCTGTCCAATATTGGCAATTACTTCGTGAGTAATTATAAAATTCTCTAGTCGCTGTACTTAACACTCCATCCAGGGCTCAGGAGACCAAAAGTTCGTGCCTGGAATGCTTCCGGCTATCCTGCCGCTGGAGAGCTGCTTAACCGCGTGATGGAACCCATGTTTCAACTGCCTCCGAACAGTTTGGGGCATCCCGGTCCCTTTACTCAGACTAGGTATTGTCTTGGAGCAGACTGTCTAGCATCCTCAGAGGACGTTGCTTCAATATCGAAGCTTATGGAGGATCTATCGATTCACCCTGAAAACACTCGCTTGAGGAGATATCGAGCCTCCGGCCGTGACAGTTACGACATTTTACAAGCATCAGTCGTCGAGAGCAAGTTTATTTGCAACACTGGCGATGAGCTGTCAACAAACGGGAAACGAATCCAGCTGATAAGAGGCGATCACAAGGACGAGCTTGAGCAAATATGCCAGAGCTTGCGTCAATCAATCAACTATGCGTCAAACCCTGCACAACAGCTACTGTTGCGAAAGTCTATGGACAGCTTCCTGGTTGGCGACCTGGAGCTTTATAAGAATGCCCAAAAGATTTGGGTAATTGATAAGGCCCCGTCAGTGGAAACCGTTATTGGCTTTATTGAGCCTTACCGAGATCCGCTAGGTATCCGTGCCGAATTTGAAGGAATAGTTGGAATACCTGATCCTACAGCAACCGAGACACTAAGGAAGCTGGCAAGCGTGGCGGACAAGTTTGTCTTCAAGCTGCCTTGGGTAGAGGGGAATGGTGGAAGAAAGGGCCCGTTCGAAAAAGAGCTTTTCGACCCTCCAGACTTTTCAAGCGTTCAAAGTAAGATAAACTGACTACCGCTTTCCGCTCCGTCTTCACGAACAAGCAAAGGGAGAAGATTGACAGTTGGCGCAATCAAGGTCTCGCATATTGTTCGAGTATTATTTTCCAGGGAATCAATCTACCGAATGTGAGTGGTTAGGGATTAATATCAACGTGTCATCAGAGTGCTAAGGCGAGCAGTATAACGACATAAGACAGGAGATAGGCTACAAGATATTATTTTCTCCAATCGTATGGCTGCTGAAAGAATCCGGCCCAGAGGTTTGCATATGGTGAATGAAGCCGAGCGAGAAACTTTTCGGAGTCACCGGTTTCATTCCTACTACATTTGGGTTGTCCTACATGCGATCTTGGGACATGGCACCGGAAAGTTTCTTACTGAAATTTCCAAGGGGAATTACAACTTTGATCTGACAAACCCACCCCTTAACCCGCTCACTGGAAACCCGGTCAGTTGTTGGTATCACTTGGGTCAAACTTGGACCGGGGTATTCGGTGATCTTGCGACGACTGTGGACGAATGCAGAGCAGATCTCGTCGGGGCTTATTTGATTGATGAGCCGGGTATACTGACGCTCTTCGGCTATACGGATCAGAGCGAGATTAAATGTCAAGATCGTAAGACTATCTGTCCACCGCGTTGTTTACAACAAGTCCTAACGACATGGCTGCAATAGTTGTCTACAATCTGTACTTACAGCTGGGCATTGATGGACTCCGAGGGTTGGAAAATTATGATCCTATCACAGAAGTAAGAAGACCGTCCAACATGCAGACATGAATATTTCGCTAACTCTCTTTGATAGCACTGGGGCCAAGCACATAGTCGAGTATGTTTGTTTCACTCTTCTGCCAAAATGTTCTTCGAGTTACTTACATTCCGCGTTAGGCTCACTTCGCTATATTTCGATATCTACTTCGCAACAGCGATGGTCTTTACACGGTTCTTTGCGATCCCGTCAATCAAAAATTGACATTGAACGTTGATCGGTCAAACACGATTCAAAAGGGTAAACCGTGTTTGGGCCGAATGCTCTTAACGTTGCACATCTATCGTTGTACGGCTGATATCTCCCACTGCCGAGAATTTTACGAGGATCTTTCGCATGTGGATGCCCAAGCGTTGCAATGGAGGGACATCATTCTCTTCCATAAAGAGCCTCCATTAGCATTCTGTCATGCAAATACTTTCCTCCACGGAGATCAAGTTCGTTTGAAAGAGTACGAACCCACAGCCCAGGGCGTGATTCAAAGTTGGGCGGAAAGAGAAATATAATAACCATCTGACGCGACTATACCTGCAACAAAGGCAATCTTGTTACCATCCAAGTAATCCAATTGTATTCGAAAAGAAGCGGGACCGACATGGCTGGCCCGAAAACATGGACGCAGAACAGGCAACAGCCAGAAAAATGGGAAAGAGGCAGTAGGGGTAAGCATAAGCCGTACCATATGACCAGCCTTGACACCTGTTATCAGCTCTTTCTTCCTTGGAGAATGGAAGTTCCAAAGGGGAGGGAGATTTGGGAAGAAAGAGTCGGTAGGGAAAACAACCAGAGGAGGGAGAACGGTTCTGATATACTAGAGGTACTGATGGCAGGTCCTCGCTTTCTATGGCAAAGTATAAATCAATCTTGGACAAGTAACAGTCTCTAACCAACTTACTAGAGCTGCGTGGAATGGCACCCGAAGCAACTACCTACTTTGTATGTAGATCTAGAAAACCCTGGTCATCGGGGTTCACACTTCTACAACATTTGAACCCGAGATTTCTCGTGATAGTCTTCGGAAATTAGCTTCGACATATCGTCCTGCAGGATAAAACTTAAACCTAATGACAGTGGTGTATAATCCGGATTTACAGCTAGGCATCGGATCGGCGGGCTGCGAATTAGAGGACTATGATCCCATATCAAAGGTGATGTACTCAAATTGAAAGTAAATGCCCTGCTAACTTTGTGTAGAGATGGCATATTTAAGCATCTTCTTCGGGACAGAATTGACATTTCCTCTACGGATCAGGAGGCTTCGAGATGGAGGATATTACTCTTCTCCACAAGGACCGCGTTTGCATTCTGCCACACAAGCACTTGCCTTCAGGGGACACCGTTATATTCAGGGAGTAGCACAAAACATATATGGACCTTCGTTGATCTGGGGCGGTTTTCATTGGAGCAGCTGCACCAGCTGCAGGATAACCTGTAATAGTGCCATAAGGGATCCAAAGGCCCCGAAAACGATCACAGCCCAGAACGTTAACCAATTCGCGGAGTCTCTTTTATCGCGCCAGAGTTGCATCAGCGTGCGAGGGGTTTTCGTCGTCAGGTATCTCTGCAGGACGATGATACGATACCGTAGGACTGGAAAGTCCCGCGGCAAGTGGTATATTTCTCTTTCAGCCAGATGTGGATCATTATATCGTTGTACGAGGCATAGTTTAGAAAGCAGTGGATCGCAGCTTTCTTTCGACGCCAGTAGGAACGGATCTAGGGAACGAAAAATACGTCGGGACTTGGGTGACTGTCCGAATAACAGCCGGTAGGAAAGCAAGGTCTCCAGAAGGAAGTGATTGATATCGTCTTCCGTCGCCCATTGGCATCGCAGCCTGCTTGTTGTTGCGCAGGCATGGAGGGCTCCTCGGGTCCCACGTTGGAACGCCAGTAAGGTTTGCTGGCAGAACGAAGGGAATTGAAAGATCGAAAGCTCGTTGGTGACCGAATTGAATTCCAAGTGACAAGATAGTGAATCTACCCACCTAATTCTAATCCCGGCTATCGAGATCAGACTATAGACATTGAATGTCCTAGTGTTCAACTCAAGGCGTTGGTGGAATTCTCGCTGGACATCTTCGTTGTCGTCTAGGCAGGCATTTTTAGAGGGAAGGAGGATGCCGAACCCCATCAGCAATTCACTTAGTGAGCTTTGCGCACAGGCATGAGTGTCCTGAAGCAAATACATATGTGTATAAGGACAGCAACCCTCTCCTTCGTCAATTGCAAGTTGCAGCAACGGACTGGGGATGTTGTCCAGGACCACAGGTTTAAACAGCATAGTTTGCCACCCCAACACGTTAAAAACCAAATATCTAGAATATCCAAGGTGCTCACTGGTCATTTCTGCTTTTAGAACACCGTTATCCTGCAGCTGGCCTATAATTCCGTCCACGGTCATTGACTTTGTGGAAGTGATGCACTTTGATATTGCATCGTAAGCCGAGAGAAAACGATCCCAGCGGACGGCTTCGTCACAATGTTCCCGATTTGTTTGGAAAACATCGAACAGTACCGTGGGCAGCGTTCGAAACCGAGCTGAAAGCCATGCATTGTACCAATCCGGGGCCCCAGGGACAGTATGACTTCGAATAACTTCCGGCGGGAACTGCCCTACCCTAGACAGCCTAGGCCAGGTCAGTGATTTGACCTTGGGCACAAGCAGCAAAGACGGCCGTTTGGTAGACTTGGTTCTGATTGGCCGTCGGAAATGTTTTGCCATGCCTGAATTGGGTATGATACATGTAGTTATGGGAAATGCGGCGGCTAAGCCAAGGATTATTTTACTTCGCAAAGAGGAAGACAAAGAGGGTGGCCACCCCTTTATCATGGTTTCGTATAACATGAGGCTACTGTCTTGGGGCTTAGTACGAGGCTGAGGAGGCAGGCGCTAAAGGCTACATGTCTCTCTGTCCATTCAATCTCGTTGATTCCGCGGTCTTAATTTTTCAAGTATTGTTCGGTAATCATCATCCGCGGCAAGTTCTTCACGATAGTCATCCAAAGCTTTCCTCCAGAGAGGAGATAAATCTGCGTCGTTGAATCCGGCCATCGTAGCTCAGGGTATTGCACGAGTATCATCAAGGGGGAAACAGAAGAGGAAACCTGGATATTTCAGAATGAGGGGAGAAATGTAAAAGAGAAAGGAAAGGAAAGGAAAGGAAGGTCTCCTAATGATCATCCGCTTCTGTATTACAGCAGCAGGCTGTGGTTTGAGATCAAATCACAGAGGAGAGTTACGCGCGGAGGTGGATGCTATTTTCACTCAGTATGCATATCAAGCCTTAGCACACTGTCTGGATGTGATTTCGGCGACTTGGGCGCCTAACTTCCATCTACTCCGTCAAATGATAAATCTTGTTGAATCAGTAGCATTCTAAACTGTTTGATAAATAGGAATCTCCTTCCTAGGCTATTAGTTTTATCCAGAAGAGCCAACCCTTGATGTATTCCAATCTATAAAGAACGCTTAGTAGCTAGGCGCAGAATATATAATCACCTGAATCTTTCTCAAGACACTGAAATGGGCGCCAAACAATGATAGAGAAGACTACTCGTGTTTGAGACCTGTTTTTGTTTCGGTATGTTCCTCACTGAGAGGCTGGCTGACGATGAAAGCGCTCGCAACGACAGCAATGCCAGCCATGCAAGTGTACATGATCCACAAATTCCGTAGCCCCGAAGAAAACGCATCAGCCACGATGCGGACCTTTGAAGGATCACCAATAGACTTTATGATTTCGGTGCTAGCCGCTGCTGAAGCGCCAGTAAGTTGCTGCGCTATTTCATCCACCAGCCCTGCCTGCTCTAGCACTCCTCTTTCCTTGGCCATGCTGTTCTCGAAAACCACCCCGCCCACCACAATCGAGACAGACATGGCCATAGTTCGGATGAAGCCTAACATGGCCGTGGCGCTTGCTGTATCCTTTTGCGTCACCCTTGATTGCAAGGCAATCAGTGGAGATGCAAACAATATGGCCGATCCGGCGCCTGCAAGGATTTGGAAGAAAATCAACTCGACGAGAGAGGAAGCTGGGCCAAGTCGGATAAATAGCCCTGTCCCAAGCGTAAGGAGGCTGGTTCCTATCCAGATCAGTTCCACGAATTTGCCTGTACTGTGGACTAACCAGGCTGAAATTCCGCTGAAAAAGCCTTCAGCAATAACGAGAGGGAGAAGGAGGAATCCCGATTGCATAGGGCTTGCTTGCTTGGCTGATTGGAAGTATAGAGGGAGCCAATATTCGCAGGCAATGGACACCTACGCAGGTTGCTTCCATGGTTAAAATGCACATTGTGACACATAAACCATGACCAAAAGAAGAAGAAGAAATACTGAGGGTTCACTCACTGCTCCATGGAATAAAGTAACTAACGACACAGCAACATTGGATCGGTTTTGGAAAATCCACAGAGGCATCAGTGGGTATTTGGCGACATACTTCTCCCCGTAGAAGAATACACCCAAGAACAAGGACCCAAACACAAGAAGGCAACCCACTTGGGAGGAATTCCAGGCAAAGGTTTCCCCTCCAAAGTTTAGGCCCAAGAGCACCATCAGGGTGAAGCCCAGGATAGACAGACTTCCTAGCCAGTCAATGGCCTTCAATCCGTCTGTGACTTTCGTGCCCGGATTATGGACGTCCAAGTACATGAACAGCAATATGAATGCGATTCCGCAGACAGGAAGATTTATCCAGAAGTTCCATCGCCAGGAGACAAACTCCGAAAACACCCCCCCGAGGATGGGTCCAAGGCCGCCAGCAATAGTCCACATGAATTCAAGAATCCCCATGTAGAGACTTCGGTGCCTGAGTGCGTGTCAGAGGAAAGCTGGCCCGACACGCCTACCGGGGATAGTGGTGTCCGAAAACAAACACGCGTGGGAACTGACCTGACGCTAAATAAATCGGATACAACGATCATGACGAGCTGTAGTAGTCCACCGCCTGCCACACCTTGCAGGGCTCGACCAGCGATCAACATCTCCATGTCCACCGCGGCCGCGCAAACTATAGAGCTGAGGAAGAACCACAGGACAGCAACCAGGAGAACTGGTTTGCGGCCCCATATATCGGAAATCTTGGCCCATATCGGGGCCGCAGCCGCACTTGCCAATAGGTAGGCGGCCCCAATCCAGGTATAGCCGCTCGCAGAATGTAGGCGCGAGGTGATGGTTGGTAGTGAGGTAGAAACAATAGTCTGGTCCAGAGCGGCTATTAATAGAGACAGCTAGAAACGTGCGGGGTGTAGTTAGTGTCTGGTTTCTTTACATTTATCTAAAGTGGATGACAAGTAATGGCAAGAAACCACTTACACAGAGCGCCACCATAATAGCGAATACCTGAATCTTTCCACGCACAGGTTCGGGATTGCTTGGCTCTTCTGGCAAACCAGTATCTTGGTGAATCTTCGAGGCTTCATTACATATTTGTTCGGGACATCTCGTCCGGATAGCATCGCTAGACGCGATTATAGAACTGTCAATAACGGATGCCAGCTCAATAGAGTGATCATGCACACTGCCGACATGTGGCACAACCATTATGCGTGGTAGATAGATGATTACGGAACTCATTTTCTTTGGGGATTCATCTCCTTATTTATATATATTAAGGGTCGTGTTAGGCACACACCCCCTCTTGATATCCTCGCACCCCTTACATTATCCACACACCCCCATTACCTAATTAGGAAATTATAGATCACGTGATAGAAAATTTTTGCTGGGTAGTATAATAGTATAGTTAGTACCTATACTATCTTACTAATTTATATATAAATTTAGTACTTAATATAATTAATAAAGTAGTCTTATTATTATATTCTTTTAATTGTATAAAATACTTTATTAGTTGACTAATTAAATAGCCTTATTTAGAATTTTATTAGTTCTTATCCCTAAGCCACGCAGCTGCTCGCCTATAGCCAGCTTGCTAACTATACTATAGTGCTTCCTTGCCCTAATGTAAGAGCATGCGATTCGGGCAACATGTCTAAACCATTGGACCAAAAGGTTACTATAATCAGACTTGATGATCTAATCTGCCCGAATCCCACCTTATATACCTAGCAATCATTGCCTTGGCACCAGTGCACCTAGTGCATGCCGTGACAACTATCTCCCTTCTTAAGATAAGGCTTGACCGCAAGCCAACTAGTATATATTCAGTAGGGACCCCCAGCCCTAAGCTAGCTAGGCTAGGCTAAGCTAAGTTAAGGACTGTGAGCAGGTAGGCATGGTTCAAATCTGGTAGCACAACCAGGTCTAGCAGGGAACCTCTAGCACCTATCTAGATCTAGCAGGATTTTTAACCAAGCCCTAGCACCTCAGGTCTAGCAGGATCCAACCCAGCCCTAGCACCTATTCAGCCTAGTAGGACTACCCAACCCTAGCACCTATTTTAGGTCTAGTGGGACTACCTAACCCTAGGACTTTATTATTGTCATACAATAATACCAGCCAGATTCGAACCACAGCCATCTACCTATTAGGTCTGATCATACTTGTAAGAGCATGTGATTCGGGCAACATGTCTAAACTATTGGACTAAAAAGTCACTATAATCAGACCTAATAGTCTGATCTGCCCGAATCCCACCTTATATACCTAGCAGGGAAATTTTCATGGAAGCTATACTTAATCTAGTATAGGTCCTGCTATCAGATCATGTGGGGGTGTGTGGATAACGTAGGGGGTGCGAGGATATCGAGGGGGGGTGTGTGCCTAACACGACCCTATTTATATATATTAATTATAATTTGTTAATGACTCGATACGAGGGGCCCGTTTAGATTACCCATGAGTATTGTGTTTAGGGTTCCAGGCATATTGATATGACAAATTCGACGAGTCCAGACGCGCCCAGTATACATTCAATTCTAATAAGTCAGTTTCCCATCTTCCTCTGCCAAATAAAGGATTTCAAATATATTCCGGAGTACTCGGTAGCCCTTCATAGAACTGAACAAGCAGAAAAAAAATGAAAATGAAAATGAAAATTACATACAACAGTCAGGATTCGCATGTGGTCACCCACCATACTACTAACTGACCGGCAAGTGGCTTGAGTACGGCTGAGCGGACGGGAAGCCCTATTTTCCACTTCCTATGGTCGTATGTGTTGGAATATTCAGGAGGATAAATTATATAGAAGATCAACATTCTTTAAAAGTAGTGAGAGGCAAAATGAAATGTCCACTACTCTGTGGTTACTCGCCATGCCTGCCCTATTCAAGGTGTAGTACCCTTAGCCCTCGAGTAGAAGAGAAAATAGAATAATCCCAGTAGTATAAAATCTATAGTCAAGACAGGTCCGGAACAGGAGAAAATGCGAGGGTTATGTGAGGTTTTCTGTAATTCACGAGACAGAGTTTAATTTCTAAACAGAATCACTCACACCACGGTCATGACGGTGGCCACACAAGCTATTTTGAATGTCGCATCGGGTGTTTCAAGATTCCTTCTCCACGGTCTGCTCAGGGACGATGCGCGTGCGCGCTCCGACACTGTCAGGGGTCCCTTTGCAATCGTTATCACCAGAACCTCGATGCTCAGCCATACAACGAAGTAGATCCAGCCAGCGGCCTGAGTCAGAACTGCGCCGGGTCCTCCGACAGTGATTAGCTTGATGGCCTGTAGAACCATGGGAATCCAGATAAAATTCCGGAAGGGTGGGCCTCTCTCAAAATCACCCGAGATGTTGAGATGTTCCTAGCCTGTCGCAGGTCTCACGGTGTTGTGGTTCGCGTTCTTCAAGTGACCAGGTTTAAACTGCAGGAATGTGACGATGAGTCTCTTCCTCCTCCTCATCGCTCCCTGCTTATCTTCTCTAAAACTCCTCGATCTCAGACAGTTGTCATGAGTTGCCAACCCGCACGGCCCTCAAAGTATGACAAAATCACTCGAAATGGGACTTTCCCCCGCAGACTCTGGACAATCCGTTTCATATAATGCAGATTGCCAGGGATTGAAATATTCTTACCAGTGGCCTTTCAGCAGGTAAATCAGCCAAGAGACGAGACAATTGACCAAACATAGTATTTCTCAGGTGTGGTTGTTTTTAAGCCACCAACAAGGCTAGGGGTTATATTTAGCTTAAAATAAGCTTTTGAGCCGCAGACTCGAACATCATACCATGATATACTCAAGATAATTGAATCATCTGCTAAGACCTTTTGGTTGATATCTACTGGGAGTTTGAATGCTCTTGCTAGCGAACGAATCGCACCCTCCTAGTCATTAGCTAGGTGGAAACTAATCATCCATTTTCTGGTCATGAAGGTGACTCCTGGTGTATATAATCTGCTCTTTTCTAGTATCTAGCACATACGACCATAGGAAGTGGAGAACAGGGCTTCCCGTCCGCTCAGCCGTACTTAAGCCACTTGCCGGTCAGTTAGTAGTATGGTGGGTGACCACATGCGAATCCTGACTGTTGTATGTTTTTGTTTTTTAATTCCATTTTTAAGTCAATGCCTTGAATACTACCATATTTGATTCTTTTACCTGAGGGCCAAGGGTACTGCATCTTGAATAGGGCAGGCGTGAGTAACTACATACTATACCTAACAGTAAGTAGCAGTGTATTTTTCCTTCTGCCTCTGGCTACTTTACTTGAAGAGCCTTAACCATCTATAATAGTCCCTTCATTACCTAGATCTAGTACATACGACCACAGGAAGTGGAAAATAGGGCTTCCCGTCCGCTCAGCCGTACTCAAGCCACTTGCCGGTTAGTTAGTAGTATGGTGGGTGACCACATGCGAATCCTAACTGTTGTATGTCCATCACGACATTTCTTTTTGCCAGCCGTTTTGGTTCATTGGTTAGCACCCATACTGCCTGCTCTTCAGGCTTCAAATGGACTGAGCTTATCGTGCGTAGAAAATTCTACCCTCTACCCATGATGAGCTATATTCTCTACCCATGGTATTGCATGAAGAGTATGTTATCCTTCCGAATATTATTGTAAGCGATACTAAAGTGGTGTGAATGAGCTAATGCCTGTAGAATATCTTAATACCAAAGAATTCGATCAGCCTGTTTGGGGTTTAATAATAGCTGATATCTGTGCAGATAGATGCCCTCGGATGGCTTGAGTCAATGGATTTGATAATATTTGGGCGAGGCCACTACTAGAGAAGTTGAAAAGTATATTGTTTTTTTTTATTAAGTTGGTATAAAAAGGGTTTCAGATGTATACTTCTATTGTAAACTGATTGAAATATCTTCCAAGCCTTGAGAACAATATCACCATTGACTCTGTATATTTTAGCTGCTGCTCTATATCCAATAGTATCAAGACCCGCTTGAGGCTGAAGGATAATGGTAACCATCGTATAGTTAGAATTATTAGAAGGCGGTGGCTCACGCCCTGCAGAGGGAAAAATAGTCTGGAGAATGTAAAAAAGATAATATGATAATTGGGAAAAGGCATTTTCTAGGTAGAAAAGAATTGTAGCCATGGCTCCATCTTTTTTCATCTCGTGATATTTAACCTCATAGGATACAAATGGTTTCGTCATTTATAGGAAAATATGCTAACTGGCCCTGATATATCACATGCTCTATTAGATTTACTTTACCCCAATACATTTCACCATGATAAACTTTCTACATTATACATACTTAATAGTATGGAAGGCGGAGTGCGTGGGTCTACATATGGAGTCAAAAGTTAGAGAGTAAAACTATGCCTGATTAACAAGAGAATGAGTAATCCTATCAGGAATACATAATAGTGAATCGGCTACTACTAAAGCACGAAGACAAGCAAGAGCCCCCTTAAAATGATAGCTGTTTAACCATACCCAGAACTTCCAACTTCCTTAGATACATCATATCTGGCAATCTCTTTTGGCCTAGGAAACGATGCGCGTTTCTAAGGTTGAAAAATTAGTAACCCTTCATGCGATAAAAAGAGATTGGGAAAGGTCTATTATTAATTACCATTGAGTTTTCCGGTACAGTAGGGACACTTTTGTCGATTGTGGGAACTTCCCATAAAAACTTCAGGGCATGGTTCGGGGTGCGTTTCGGGATAGGGACAGGGCGAGCGTGTGACAATTCGATGTCCACACCTATAAATAATTGTGGTAATAGTTATTTTGCACATTTTGCAGAAATTTGATCACAGAGAAGAAGGATGATCACAGAGGAGAAGGTTGATCTGGTGGATTATTTCTCAGTAGGAGGATTGTTGGCTTATTATACTTCCTGTCCTGTTAGACCTTTGAACCTGATATATAAACTATTCTTGTCCTAATGACCCAAGGATGCTGATGTAGAGTGATAAACTAAAACCTTTTAGTTATTGGCAAGTCTACACTGATATTCAGAGCACTAGTCCTGAAACCTTTTAGTTATGGCAAGTTGGATCTTCTTATCGAAGCTAAGTTCAAGCAACATTAGCTCTGAGTATAGAACTAAACTAGGGATAGAATTACCCTAGCATTATTTAATAAACCAGACAAACTTCTATCCTAAGCCAACTACTAAGACTATGGTAGTTAGCAGGAGCAACACAGATTTCAATCGCTAACCGCGTGGTTCCGTCAAGGTTGGCCGGATTAGCAGGCGCAAGGCAGATGAGGTTTGCAAACAGTAGCTTCAAGTATTATGCTAGATCCAAGACCTAAATCTCGGAAGGGGGGAAAGGATTTAGATCTCTTAGAGGATGGTTTTGTGGAGGATCTAAGTGACTTGAGAGATCAGGATCTCTGTGCTCTCACTGCCCAGGACCACATCTCCCCAGTCCCGGGGGTTTTTCTGACGACCAAAACTCTTGATAGCCCGTATTGCCGATTTTTGTCCCCAGGGGAAAGGAGTAATTGCGAGCAGTTTCGATGCAGTCATCCCCTCGAGAAACAGGGCAGGACATTCTGCGGACCCAATACCAGAAAGAGATATGGAAGAGAAGAAAGGAATGACTTGGTCGATCTCGCTAAGCAGGGGCAGGAGAGGGTGGTCGACTTCATCAAAGGCACCCATCATCAATGCGGCTATAGAGACAGAAGACTAGGAAGTTAGCAAAGCTTGGCAGACAGGGGCTGAACTAACGGAGGAGATCATGGAGGGGGACTGCGGGAAAGGGACTGATGGGACTTTTGTTGTTGTATTACTACTTGTGGGTATGAATGTTTAAGGACCTCAGGACTGTGGAACTTAAGCGCTGTGGAGCTGACAGCGGGGTGGTGGGGCGGTGGGGCGCGGGAGGGTAGCGACAGCCCCACGCACTAGCAAATAGCGCTAGGCCTACTTAGAAAACTAGACTTGATTATATAAGATAGCGATAATACTATGTAGTTAAATGGTCGGTCCATTGGCGGACATAACTACCGTGGTCAGGATGTATACCTACCTGAGGGGAAGATAGTGTGTAATGGTTATCTTGAATTATAAAGCTAAGCTATTCATGTTTCCAAGATTGCCAGCATCCTAAAATAATACCCAAGAAAATAGGTTGTGAATTGCATGAGCCAAAACAGCCGATCTGGAGACAAATCCCATGCTGCTGATAAAAAGGAGAAGAACGGGCTTCAGGGAATTCAGGCCAAAAAACTAGTAAACAAAAACATACAACAGTCAGGATTCGCATGTGGTCACCCACCATACTACTAACTGACCGGCAAGTGGCTTAAGTACGGCTGAGCGGACGGGAAGCCCTGTTCTCCACTTCCTATGGTCGTATGTGCCAGAAATGTCTTGATCATGGGATATATAGTATGCAATCTGACTGCGAGCTAGACTGAATATCAAATACATCCATGGGAATCGCCGATTTCATGTGGCCATGCTTTCGGTTTAACTGGGATAGGTACAAGAGTAGATTGATCTCACCCTCGGCCCTTATCATACTCAAGATATTTAAAGCAGAGTGCTACGGGTATTGCTTGTATATACGCTTTGTAAGAGAACGCCGCTCGTTACGCATTGTATTGTTGAGGTTGGTGGAAAGAGGATGACCCTCGCTTATACTAGTTAATCATTACTGTACAGCTCTTACATATCGGCAAACTACATATTTCTGTGGAAAAATCTCTAGGCAACCGAGGGACAATTCAAGTGACCTAGCAGGTTAATACCACTCTATATCTTAATATTATCCGATCATACCTCTATAGAACCCATATAATATCTTAAGGGGAAATAGTTACCCCGGGTATAAACTGAGCCAACTCCTCCCGGTTCTCAACCAAGCCGAGAAACTCGACAACCTGCCAAATTCTATCCACTCCCCAGAAGCAGTTGACTTCCCCATCGGAACTGGTGCATTCAAACCATGGAAGCCCAAACCCTCCCGACTCGAACAACTTTTGCGTGTTTGATTGCAAAAGGCTTTTGATACCGGCGTCTTCCGACTGTTGAACAGGTTAATTATGCAGTACAGCACGTACATGTGCAGAATACCTCCGCGTATTTCCAGAAAAGCGAGGACTTACAAGATCTAACATAGCCTTTGCATCAACCTCGCCTAGAATTGCTGTTAGAATAGGTAGAAAGCTGTCGAGCTCCACGGTCCGGCCGTTCCCTTTTGCCCATAAGGAGTCATATAAGGCGTCGATCGCAGGGGCGAGGCTATCGGGCGCATCCCGGGATATAGCACAGAGAACTTGCTGCAGGGGGAGTGTGTTTTGCGGGAACCCCTCCGGCACCTGTTGCCCCATCGGAACACGGAATCTATTGGCCCAGCTGAGACGTTCGCGGTTGATCCATGCGTACTTGTCTGTGATGAATTAGTACATACATACATCCTAGCAACACTCTGACAGGTACAACTTTTGACGGCAATGGGAGGCGTATTGCTGCATAATTTGAATAACCCGCCTAGGGAAATCGGGACGTAGTTGATTTTGCATGTCGAGAAAATAGCCGAGTGCTAGGAGAGCCGGCCATTATATCAGTTTTATACCATTTCCGTTTCCAAACGCAAACATACCCGAAGAACATAATAGGCGATATAACTGAAGGGACTGACAATGTCCAAGTACAGAGTAATCGAAGGGGATGCCATTGTGACTCACTGAATGGGTGCGTTGTTTTCTGGATGCATCGTGGGGAGCGGCGGGTGATAATTGTAGTCGGTAGGGAGACGTTGATTTATTGATTTCTCATCATATCCGCACCAAAAAAATCTTGGGGCTCAACACTTGATGCTGCCTGTATTTGACTTGGTTTGTTGAGATTATTATTAACGTGCAAAATATATGATTAGTGAACCCTTTATAAAAAATAATGATGTTCTACTTTATCTGTAACAGATTGTGCCATCCTCATTTGTCCCAACAATATTATGCTATCCTACATACATAAAGGGTGACTCATCGCTGGTGCTTTTTGCATTATAGGCAGCAGTATGAAGCTGTGACAAGGCTATGGTCTGACTTTTACTTATTAGGATGTTGAACGCTACACTACTTATGGCAGTAGTAGCACAAGTTGTATGGGCCGGATGTAGTTGCTTGGGAGAGGCACCAATGTTGATGCTAGAGACAAGAATAGAGAACCGCACCACATTAAGCAGCAAATACGAGTGAACGGATAATACAGTGGCTAGAAAGATAGATGGAGAGTGATTTATTTACTTTAATCACTCCCAGCCAGGATATCAGATCATGTGATATGTATGCCCTATTCAGAAGCGGAAGCCTGATAGACAGCACTATGACTACAGTATCTATAGCTGCATCCGTGCTTGGAGATAGTTAGCTCATGAGAATATTACAATGCCCATTTGTTCCCCAGTTCAGAGTTCAAACTGGGTTCACAGGGGAGCTTTGTCCTTGGCCTAGGCAGCTGTATGGCGATTCGCCTGTGGTTATCAAAATGATGGAACCCCTATACCTTGGTTCTGTAGATCTCTTGCACTATAAAAATAAAATAAGTTAGGTCTTTAGTAGTGATTGGTTCGGGTTCAGGTTAACCTTGAAACCCAATATTTGGATTCGAAGTTTCAGCTCGAACCGAACCCGAACCCGAACCAACTATACTACCTAATATACACACAAGAAATCAACATAATCCTTCAATTCAACAGGGTTTGAAAATTCTATCTATGCGTCCGGGCTTCTCTCAGGCATACTCTGTAGTAGTCGAATGCACTATTGCAATTAATAAAGGCTGCCTTGCTCATGCTTCAGTTTGTGCCGATCTGAGCTGCGCGATATGAACGGAAGGCAGAATCTCCTGGGGATACTATCCTGGACCTTTATTTTCTCTGATCATCATTTAGAGTGGGGAAAAGGCCGAAAATATGTTAGTCTGGAGCACCTCCTTATGCTATGGTTCTGGCCGGTGCGCGCTAGGAGAAAGAACAAGCTACTCTTGCCTCTTGCCTGGCAAAATTCTTATTGCCAAGGTTTGTAGAGAGACTAGAAAAGATGTAGCATTACTAGTAGTATAATAGAGAAGACTTATGCCGGACTAGCAGCTGATGCTACAGTGTGACGTGTCAAATGAAGTTAACCATATCTTCCTGGGAGGGATTGAAGGATCTTGAGGGTTTCTGTTAACAAAGCAGAGATCATGCTTAGCTCGAAGCAATAGAAACCCGTACATAAGACACGCTAAGGAGGATTGTTTGGAAATGGGAGACAATGACTCCCGAGCCCTATGCGACGGAGACAAAGAGCCGTACAATTGCGGATTCTTAGCCGAAACTCCCTCTATAGAATTAGGCAACCACACTGAGAGGTAGCATTAAAGGTAGTATTAAAGGGGCAAACTGTTGGGTATGAGTATGGAGCGAGTGGGGACTCGAGTTGTCCTGTAAAAAGTACCAACCTGCTTCATAAATCTAAACCGAGGTTTCGGAAGGAGAAGCTGTAAAAGAAAAACTCAACTTTCATGATCGGCAGCTTAATTTCCTCACAAAGGATGAAGAACTCTTGCTACGAAACAAAGCTTGAGGGCGACAAGGAACGGATCATACGGACAACATAGTTCTCCTGGTTCTTTGTTAAATGGGCCAGTCAACCGTCCCTCTTATATAAGGCGGTCCCCGACTCGATGGTCCATCGTATTCCCAGTATTTGCTCTCATCCACATTCATTTTGCTTCCCTGTTACTCTTTTCTCGGTTTCCTTATGAAGTCACTCATTGCGTTTAGCTTGGTGGCCATCCAGGCAGTGTCTGCCAGGTATGGAATGTACATTGACCAGTTAAGTATACTCGTTCCCTCCCCTCCCACCATCTGGAACTAACCAGTGCATAAAAGATGGCATGTGGCATCTTTAGCCAACCGGAACTTGACCGCGGGAATTGACCATGTGATTATGGCCTTTGCCGAGTCAATATTGTTCACCAACCCGACTCCGGCGAATTACACTCCTTTCGCAAGCGTCGAGAGCATGCGTGCAAGGTTCGACCCCGGAACCAAATTCTCCCTAGCCATTGGGGGATGGGGAGACAACGCTGGCTTTGACCTGGCTGTCACCAATGACACGACGAGGAGAAGATTTGCGAAGAACGTTGCCCAGACGCTGGACCGCCTTGGCTTTGATGGAGTTGGTATGCTGTCTATCTCTTAGAGCGAAACAAGCTCCTCCTTTTCCTTACTAACAGTCAGCAGATATTGACTGGGAGTACCCCGGCGGTAATGGTGCGGACTACAGACAGGTTCCGAATTCTAAGAAGACTGGGGAAATTAATCAATTCCCAAAATTACTGCACGAGATCAGGAGCGCAATCGGCAAAAAGGTTTTGTCGGTTGCTGTTCCGGGACTCAGGAGGGACATGATTGCCTACACTCCCGAAGAGGCCCCCAAGATCTGGGAGGTTGTTGATTTTGTGAACGTACGTACCACATGGTTTCATGACTGACTGCTAGGAACGCTTTGTTGACTGGTCTAGGTGATGGCGTACGACTTGATGAACCGCCGGGATAATATCACCAAGCACCACACAGATGTCCAAGGCTCCCTCGAGGCGGTTGACGCCTATTTAGAGTTGGGACTGAAGCCGTCTAAGGTCAATTTAGGATTCGCCTTCTACGCCAAGTATTTCAAAACTGCACCAGGATATAACTGCACCGCGACTCCCCTGGGTTGCCCAACAGCGGAGCTCGAAGCTCCGGACGGAAGCGACACGGGTAACTCTGGCGCCCTAACCTTTGAAGCGAGCAACTATTTATCAGTCCCTACTGATTTGTCAGTCACTACGGATGGAAGCTGCGGAGCCACTGTAGGCAAAAAATGCCCAGAGGGCTATTGCTGCAGCCTGTATGGATATTGGTTAGTGCAGTGAAACCTTTCCGTCATGTGCAGGAGATTTCTGACTGTATTTAGCGGTGCCACTGCGGATTACTGTGGCGCGAGTTGTCTCGCAGGTTACGGCAAATGCGATGATGTTTCCGTAACTACTTCGTGGGAAAATGCCTTGCGGAACGGGAAAGTTGATGCTAAAGCTGGAGGACAGTACTACTGGGACCCTGCCGCGACACTGTTCTGGACCTGGGACACCCCAGCTCTAATCAACCGGAAGTTCCAGGACATTATCGCTGCTCGAGGCCTTGGTGGTGCCTTTGCTTGGAGTCTCGGTGAGGACAGTCATGACTGGAGCCATTTGCAGGCCCTCCAGGCCGGCGTCAAGGCATTTCTGAGCCCAGTCTCTCCTCGATCTGCTTCTACGTCGCATCAGCGTCGCAAAGCCCACTACCACAAAGCTAGGACTTCGATATAGGGGCCTTCTCTAGAATGGTTTGCAATGGCTCCGTCAGCGTACTATTTCATCATACAGTGAAACCCACCGAAACACAGAGGTTGCATTGGACCAGCTAGTAAGAAATGTTATGGCTGTGAACAGAGGCTTGGAAGAGTGGTTAAACGAGCTTTATTACAGTAAGACCTACTTATTTTTCTTGGCAAGGATTTTTGAATATAGATTCCACTTATGAATTTGGCGCTAAATGTTTATAAAGTATACATATACTGTTTGTTCAGGCTTTCATACTGTAGCTGCTACCCCTGTATCTGCAAAAGAGGGAAGGTAGGGCAACACCCTATGGCCCGCTCAATAACATAACCATAGCCAGCGAGCAGACTCTCACTTACTATATATCCCATAACGAAGACATCTCTAGCACATACGACCATAGGAAGTGGAAAATAGGGCTTCCCGTCCGCTCAGCCGTACTCAAGCCACTTGCCGGTCAGTTAGTAGTATGGTGGGTGACCACATGCGAATCCTGACTGTTGTATGTTTTTATTATTTTTACTTGGTTTTTTGGTTTAGTTATTGCTGCCCTATTTCTGGTTGTTTGAGATACGCATCCACAAGCTAGATTCTTCTATAATAAAGCCTCTCCAGTACCCCTCAACTTGACTCTCGGAATGCGCTGTATTTGATTTAATTCCAAAATTACAGTGACCAGGCTAAGAGGTTAGTTATGTGGACATAAGTATGCACTGCCATGTTCATCTTAGTTAGATTATACCTTAAGTATACTCATATTGATCTCCGGTGCCCTACCTTTTTCTTATTCCGCCTCTTCGAATAGAGCTTGCATATTTAGGGTTATGAAGGTTCTCCAGAGGACCTTACCTTTTACCCTTAGGTGTCATATAGTTACTACATAATCCTTAATCCTATGGTCATAAAGGCTAGTTCTTGTTAGAATTTCATAGTAGGAAGATATTCGGGCATAGATAAATATAACAATTTCTAAATATAGTCTGCTTCGCTATCTCTTCCACCAACACTGGCATCATAGAGGGAGTCAACCGCACGGTTTCTGCAGGTTATAGTAGTTAATAGCAACAACAGTACACAGAGGCGAGTCCTTGCCTATCGTACGGCAAGTTATTAGGAGAAAACTAATAATATGAAAAATGTATTATACTAGTTACTAGTAAAACCCTTAGCCTATTTTTTATATTAGTGTACTGTATGTATGTAGTGCCCTGGCTAGCCCAGGCTAACCTAGGAGATTACTACTATATACCTGCCCCGCACCAACACGAAAATTTCATTTTAGCGGCTGGACCCGGATAGAGGAGGGATGAGAAAAGAGAAAAAAGGGGTTTTACGACTATATAGCCGCGGGGATAAGGGGAATTTTCCTCGATGATCGATTCTGAGAGTCGCAATACTCATCACGTGATACTATCGTCGCCTCTCTCTTGGGTTACAGAACACGAACGGAGCTTCTCTGTTGGCATTCTCGGGATTCATTTGACATTTGAATAACACGCGATAATGGAGGCATTCGATAAGATTCCATATGAAGTCCTGTTTAGGATCAATGCGTATGCAGCGGACTGGGTTGCTCTTGAAAGCCTTTTCCACGTCTCCTCGCGGGTAGGCGAGCTTTTCGCAGGCGAACCCAACAGCGAGGCAGACCCAGAAGCCATCCGCCTAGTTGAATCGATCCTTGCAGAGAACCCTGTCATGCGACATGAACTGCACCGCCACTTCCGGATGAGCATGAGACTGCGCCAGCCCTCCTTAGCGGATACTAGTTTCGCCGAGTTCATGGCTCGCGACTATTCTGTGTCATCCTTGACCTCCTCCCCCCCTTCTTTGATAACCCGAGCCATGTTACAGGAGATGGTGATTATCGCGACCAACATCCAACGGCTGGCGTGCGCCTGTTTAACCACCTTCTTAACCCGGCTTCGGAAGGTTCAGCCGCGGCTTCGGGAGTACACTCATGGACCGCCCTTCTCCGGTGCGGTGGGCACCGCGCCATACAAGCCACACGATTCCGGCCCTCCCTCATGGATTGAGGAGTATCGGGTCTACCGCGCACTCTGGCACTTGCAGCTGTATTCCGACCTGTTGGTTGTGGGTGACAGGCTGAACTGGCCCCAAAGTGACTTCGAGTATTTGCGAACTAGCCACGTGGAGTGGAATGAATTGCAGCCTATAGCTGGGGAGGAAGAACTCAAATGCATATCGGAATGCCTGGGGAGTCTCTACTGTGTTGATGTAGTTCCCACTACACAGTCCCCTGTCGAATCTGACAGTAGTGACATGCACCTTATCACTCAGGTCCCCAATGCCTCTCAACTGCAGTGCAAATTTAGTGTCTGGGCACCTCCATCTCCACCCGAAATTCCACACAATGACGATGATTATGGCAGCCCTAAGGATATTTGGGGCCAGGGACTGGAAAGGAGCAAGCATAATCGCACGGCCACTTACTTCAGAATGTGCCGGTTCCACAACATGAAATACAGAACCAAGTTTCAAGTCTGTAGCATTCAGGACTGGCGTCCATGGCGCGGACTGGGTATGCCGATGTGGGATCTCTGCCGGTTATATTGGCTGGGCCTCTGGCCTCTGGCGCACTCCCGCGGGCTAAAATGGCGGGCCAGTCCGACTGATGACGGAATAGATATTTCACAGGCTCATTGTCTGTGGGATGGTGTCGAGGAAGTACAATACCGAATGTCTGTTTTTATGGGGGCACGCATGGAGATGGAACGTCAAGAGAAAGTGGAACGCATAGTAGAAGATGGACATGGATTAGACAAACAATGAAGGCCATTTCAGGTCCCGTTGAATGTCCAGCTAGCTACCTAATTACAGCATAATGAGACTTGTCTGCCAATCAAGTACTGAACTGGAATATCATATGGTACCAATCCTCGTCATTACCCTCATTATCCTTTCCTGTAGTCGTCCAAGCCGTTACCGACACTGGGTATTTCTTTCCCAGTGACCCCTTGTGGTTTATTAAAAGCCAAGCCCCTCCTCCACCGTTGGGAGTGCCCAACAAGGCCAGTCCATTCTGATTGAGTAACACGCCGCCTCTCTTTTTCTGGTTGATGTCGAAGGACTTCCCAGGCCATGCGGGACAAGGTCCGCCACAGACAATCTTCAAAATGTTCAAAGTATCCGGGTTGACGATGTGTGTCCGGACCAGGTACTTTAATTTTGACACCGGGGTGCGGGTAGACTTCGCCAAGGTGGCCCAATTGATATAAACTACGTCGGACCATTTACTGATGAAGGTCGTCAAATGATGACAGTAGAAAGTTGACCGAAATGGATTCAATTTGGGTCTAACTAGGAAATAGAGAGATGCTTGGAGGAAGCATGGAGATCTAGAAAGAAACAATAGCCTTAAATATACAAAGTAGTCATGTGTTACTATCTTCTTCTTTATAGTAATGCTACTTTATAATAGTACTAGTTATATTTACTAAGTGTAGTACTCTAACACACCCCCTTTAGTAACATGTCCATTTTATAAAGCTATTTAGAGTCTATCTCTAACCTGCTAAAACCTAACCTCTTGATAAATTTATTAAATTTTATAGTTAGTAGTACTTTAGTTAGTCTATTAGCAATATTATCCTTTCTACCTACTATTTATAGCTAAATTCTGCTATTTTTAATTACCTCTTTAATAAAGAAGTAGCAAATATCTATCTAGTAAAGTATAGATATATAATTTAGCTTCTTTACTAAAGTAATAGTATTTATAGAATTAGTATATAAAGATATAGTATCTTTTACAGACTTTTTTAGTCTAATAGCTATATACAGCTTTTATAATTATATAGCTAACTTTATTACTATATCCTATATAATAAATTTAGTAATAGTTAAATTTAGAGTAACTAGTAATTACTTTACTAATCTCTATATAATTAGTACTCTAAATATAAAAAATATAAAGCCTTTTATTAATTTCTTATCTTTATAATCTATATAGGAGGTATTAATATATATATATAATAAATTATCTAAATAGCTTAAGACTATTATATAGTCTATGTCACGGTGCGAAGCCGTAGTACCTATCTAGTTAGATTCTGCCTTGACTGTCCGCCCTTATTCCTGTATTTAAGCCACATTATCCTTAATCTTATTATAGCTCTTTAAGCTATATCCTATCTATTACCTGATACCTACTATTCTGCTGTTCTATCTGGTTAGCTTCTAGTTAATAAATATCTAAATCTGACTCTGCCCCCTAATATTATGTAGCTCCTCTCTACTGGGAGTTAATTATTACTATTATGCCTGCCTTGCTGCCCATGCCATCTAAAGGCATGGAAACCCTCCTGTATAATGCCCCTAATAAATTAAGATAATATATTACTAAAATATACTAGTTCTCTACTACTATTATAAAAGAACTCTATAAATTATCTACTCTATATTCTACTATTACTAATCTTCTTAACTATATTTAATAGAAAGATAGTATAATTGAGTACTAGAAGATATAAGCTAAAAAAACCTAATAGAAGCTATTTAAAGTGCTTGCTTAAAATAATATGCTTTCTTAATTATTATCTCCTTTTAAAAAAGATACTAATATTACTGCCCCCCTTATTACTATTACTGCTCTTATTATGTCTATTCCTACTACTCAAACCTCTAAATAACTCCCTGACCCTGATAAGTTTAATAGCTAATAAAGTAATCTAAGATACTTTACTTCTTAAATCTACTAGAAGATAACTATGAACCTTGACTATTTTCTAATCCTAAATAGTAGAATAGCTTATATGACTAGTTGCCTTGAAGGAACCTTATATGCTTAAATCTTGCTATATATTTGAGATAGAATCTGTAAACTAAGTAATTATATTAAGATTTTAGAAATCCTGGAGAAAGTTTTTAGAGATCTAAATTTAGAAGCTAATACTTATACTAACCTATTCTATCTCTAATAAACTTACTATAAGTTTAGTATCTTTTTTACTAAATTTTAATACCTTGTATTAGAAAAAAATATGAATAAAGATATCTTGCCTATAATTCTAGAACAGGCTATTAGCTAAGAACTTTAAGAGATATTAATATACTTTAAGGCCCTATTATAATATTATAACTTTACTAATTACTTATAAAATCTAGAAAATTACTGCTACTATTATACAAGTACTATCCTACCCTTATTTATAAAGAATTTCTAGCCTCCCTAACCTATTTTAAAGCTAACTCCCACTACCCAAATTCCTATAGTCCCTATTAATCCTGTTATTACTGCTGCTCCTGCTAAAGACTTAATAGACCTATCTATTGCCTGTTACCTTAATTATCAAACCTAACACCTGTGTTACTACTGTAGTAGTACTGACTACCTAGTAGGCAGCTGCCTGCACCCTGACTAAAGACTAACCAGCTGTACCTCTATATCTACTGCTAAACTAGACCTGTATCCCCTATTAACTAGAACCCTGCCTGCTGAATGCCCTGCATTCCCTGAATTAGAAAATAGAGTATCCCTAACCTAAGCTATAATTAGGGATACCTCTAGTGCTCCCTCTACCTATTAAAGGCTGCGATAGCTGGAATAATAGTAGAGAAGGAAAGTTACTAATTTAAACTAATAATCTTACCTGTTAACCTAGAGACTCTTGATAAGATTCTGCTAACCTTTACTATAATTAACTCTGGAGCTAAGGGTAAATATTTTATAAATTATAATTAGGCTATAAATAACTAACTAAAAATACTATTATTAAAGAATCTTATCCTATTAAGAAGATTTAATAGTACTCTAGTAGAGTTTAGTAATATTACTTATTTTATTTATTTAACCTAAAGAATCTATAACTATACTAAAAAGGATGCTATTTTTCTTATAACCTAATTTATATACTTTCCTATTATTCTTAGCTTGCCTTAGTTAAAAACCTATAACCTCTAGATTAGATTTACTAATTATACTGTTTTATTTAAAAACCCTTATTATAGGAAGTACTATAATATACTTCTGAAGTTTATAAAAATTTTAATATTATATAATATACTGCTAAAAGCTTCTTCCTAATATCTTAATCCCCACCCTAAACCTCTAAAGAACTAAGATATTACTAGAGTCTTAATTACTACCTATACCATGTATACCCGCTATAGATACTGGATATTTACTACTACTATTACTAATATTGAAGCTACTCTAAATCCTATTACTATTACTAAATCTAAGCTATAAGAGCAACTACTCCCTAAGTTTATTAAGTTTTATAATATATTCTTACTAAAGGAGGCTAAGTGCCTGCCATCCTACTAATCTAATAATCATGAGATTAAACTACTACCTAGAAAAACTCTACCTTTTAGGAGCCTGTATAGCATGTCCTGAGATAAACTAAAAATTCTAAAGAAATAAATTAAAAAGAATTTAAAGAAAGATTTTATTTACCCTAGTTCCTTCTTTACTATATCTTCTATCCTATTTATAAAGAAACCTAGAGGAGGCCTATAATTTTGCATGGACTACCAAGCCCTAAATATAATTACTATAAAAGATTATTACCTGCTATTACTAATAAAAGAGATACTAAATAACCTAAAAGGAATAAGGTATTTCTTAAAAATTAATATTATCTCTACTTTTAATAATCTATAGATTAAGAAAGGATAAGAATATCTTACTACCTTCTAAACTTAGTTAAGCCTGTTTAAATTCTTAATAATATTATTTAGACTTACTAGAGCCCTAGTATTATTCTAGAGATTTATTAATAAAGCCTTGTATAATTATCTAGATATCTTTTATATTATATATCTAGATAATATTCTAATTTATAGCTAAACCTGTACTAAATATACTTATTATATTTAATAAGTATTAGAATGCCTATAAGTAGTAGGACTTTATACTAAATTTAGTAAATATAAATTCTTTATGCGCGAGATGAAGTTCCTAGAACTAATTATAGGTAGAGATAGCTTCTAAATAGACCCTAATAAAGTAAAAATAATCACTAAGTAGGAAATATTAACCTGTCTAACTAATATTTAAGCCTTTATCAGCTTTAGGAACTTTTACTACTAATTTATCTATAACTTTTTAAAAATTATTAGACTATTAGTTAACCTAATTAAGAAGAATATTAACTTTAACTAGATACCTACCTGCTAAGAAATATTTAAATAATTAAAAGCTACTTTTGTAAATACCCTAATACTAAAATCTTTTGACTAGTTAAAAAATATAATTCTAGAAATTAATACCTTTAATTATATGTTTACTAGAGTACTATCTTAATATAATAATAAAGATATATTATATCCTATTATATTTTTCTTTAAGAAATATTCTATAATAGAATATAATTATAAGATTTATAATAAAGAACTATTAATTATTATTTATTACTTTAAAGAATAGTACCCTGAACTAAAAGGGACTCTATTACTTATAAAGATTATTATAGATTACTAGAACCTAGAGTATTTTATATTAACTAAGCTACTAAATTATTAATAAGCCTGCTAGTTTAAATTTCTATTAAAATTTAACTTCTAAATATATTACTACCCTAGGAAGTTAGGTGCTAAGCTTGATATACTAACTAGAAGGTTAGAGGACCTGTTTAAGGAGGGGGATAAATAATTTCTTTACTAGAGCTAGACTATTCTAAAATCTAAAAATCTACTGCTTGAGATTACTACTAATCTGAGACTAAATATTAATAGCTAATACTAAGTATACTTTACTAAATAACCTATTATTAATAAACTAATCTTCCTACTACTAATATTATAACTACTATTTAATAGAGTTTATTTATAAGATAAGAAGCTCTAGTCTATTCTAAATATTCTAAAGGATAGTCTATTGAGATACCCTAATATTATACTAGCTAACTATAGATATATTAGTCTATACCTAAGATACTAAGACTAACTTTATATACTTAATTATAATAAGATAAAAGCTAAAATATTAAGACTTTATTATAAAAATCCTACTACTAGATATCCTAGAAGAACTAAGATATATAAATTAATATTATATAAATACTTTTAGCCCGGGATCTATAAGTATATTAATTAATAGATCTAGAATTATTATCTCTACTACCAAATTACTCCTTCCTAAGAAGTAAAGTAAGGAGTACTAAGGCCTTTACTAATTCCTGAATATGCCTAGCAAGATATAAGTATAGACTTTATTATATATTTATTATTAAGTAATAGCTATAATACTATTCTAATTATAGTTAACTATCTAATAAAGATAAAGTACTTCCTCCC